TCTATATATATATATATGTGTGTGTATATATACACATATATGTGTGTATATATATATATATATGTGTATATATATGTGTATATATATGTGTATATATATGTCTATATATATGTGTATATATATGTGTATATATATGTGTATATATATGTCTATATATATGTGTATATATATGTGTATATATATGTGTATATATATGTGTATATATATGTGTATATATATGTGTATATATATGTGTATATATATGTGTATATATATGTGTATATATATGTGTATATATATGTGTATATATATGTGTATATATATGTGTATATATATGTGTATATATATGTGTATATATATGTGTATATATATGTGTATATATATGTGTATATATATGTGTATATATATGTGTATATATATGTGTATATATATGTGTATATATATGTGTATATATATGTGTATATATATGTGTATATATATGTGTATATATATGTGTATATATATGTGTATATATATGTGTATATATATGTGTATATATATGTGTATATATATGTGTATATATATGTGTATATATATGTGTATATATATGTGTATATATATGTGTATATATATGTGTATATATATGTGTATATATATGTGTATATATATGTGTATATATATGTGTATATATATGTGTATATATATGTGTATATATATGTGTATATATATGTGTATATATATGTGTATATATATGTGTATATATATGTGTATATATATGTGTATATATATGTGTATATATATGTGTATATATATGTGTATATATATGTGTATATATATGTGTATATATATGTGTATATATATGTGTATATATATGTGTATATATATGTGTATATATATGTGTATATATATGTGTATATATATGTGTATATATATGTGTATATATATGTGTATATATATGTGTATATATATGTGTATATATATGTGTATATATATGTGTATATATATGTGTATATATATGTGTATATATATGTGTATATATATGTGTATATATATGTGTATATATATGTGTATATATATGTGTATATATATGTGTATATATATGTGTATATATATGTGTATATATATGTGTATATATATGTGTATATATATGTGTATATATATGTGTATATATATGTGTATATATATGTGTATATATATGTGTATATATATGTGTATATATATGTGTATATATATGTGTATATATATGTGTATATATATGTGTATATATATGTGTATATATATGTGTATAATAGATATATATGTATGGATGTATGTATGTATGTATAGTGGCAACAAAAGATAAACTTCATTAATAATGCCCAAAATATACATACATATATGTATATAGTTATATATGTATATACATACATATATGTGTATATATATATGTGTATATACATACATATA